TTTTAATAATTTGATGTGCATGTGCTGTGCTCAGGAGAGACAGGATGAGCTCAGGGCAGTGGTATGTGGGTCAGAGCACCAACCTCACTGATTGGGGTGGTTACTCCTAATTTGCACCTGAATATTTGAGAAGGGAGCTGGGTTCTGTGGATTATAACTATTAAATACCATTCAGTTTGCAGGACTATGCAAGTGTGCAGACAAAACTTAGGGATGCAGTCTTGATTCTCTCGCTGGACCACAGCCTGCAGGCATCATTAGACCCTCCAGACTTTACCTAATTTCGGTGTTATTCCCTCATCATTACATCATGACTGCGGAGACAGGGTCATTCTCTCCTGTGTTGTGGTTGTGGCAGGGATTAATGTGGTTTTGGTAGGGGTAGTCAGTGTTTGAACAGATTTCAACTATTTTAAGCACTGTTGCACATGCTGGGAGACTCAGGAGAAGATTCAGTCTCAGCAGAGTGGATTTTGCTCTCCCATCACACGTGATCTATGGACTGTGAACGATGGGAATGTCCTGGTTCACAGCACCAGGGTAACAAACTGGGAAAGCTGCTCGCCATCCCATGTACTGTGCTCCCAGCCTCAGTGTGTCAGTGCATCCTCTTCATTCCTTGGAAATGGTTTCAAGTATGAGAGTGGTTCCCCTGACTGTTTCACAAAAAGAAGTGCAACCAAAGCAACAAAATCTTTGTCCCCTCTGAGATCCTCTTCCCCAGTGTCACCCAGCTGCAAGGTGCCTGTGGAGAGTGTAAGCAGCTGTGTTCCTTCTCCCTGTGGCTCCCTTTGCAGGGGTTTCACCTGCAAAAAACCACAAACCAGTGGAGAGACTTGAAGTATCCAGTCCTTCTGCACCCTTCTTGTGTTTTCCCCTTTATCTCTTTCTTTATCTGGACCTGAGGATTTTGTGATTGGTACTTGTAAACTTTACACCTGCCACCTTCACATATCTCCCTGACTTCATGTTTTCTTAGCTGGTAGATAGCTTTTCAACATATATACATATATATATATATATATATATATATATATATGTATGTATATATATGTAATCCTTTTTACCTAGACTTGTGAGGAATTCCAATCTCTTCCAGTGGGAGTTTTCAGGAAGGTTTAGGTTAAATGGGCCAATAAGGCAAAACATGTAGCAGGAGATCTCACCCTCTAAAGGTATCTTTTCTCTTTTGCTCTTTATTTTATTCCCCTGGAAAATACATCAGAATATCTAGCTGTCAAAGAATTTAAACAATAACACCTAATCTGAAGATTGGAGCACGGGGCCTCTGAAAATAAAGATTGTAATCTCTGTGTGGTGTGTCCAGGGACAGATGGGGCTGGAAGTCAGGGGTGCTGAGCAGCAGAGTGCTGTGGGGCTGCTGCTCTGGCATGGTGGCACTCATTTAATCTGAATTCTCCTGTACATTCTCTTGGATTTTCCCTGGCACTTCCATTGTGCCATGGCATACTTATCACAGGAGAAGACAGCATTCCAAGTCCAGTTTGAATTAAAGTAAAATGTGTTGGTGGTGGCTGAGCTTTTCTCCTGCTGTGTGTGAGTGGAGGGGGAAGACACGAGCAGCCCCTTGTGCTGGGTCAGCCTCCACCTCCTGGGAACTCTGGTTACATCCTTCAGGGCTGGGATTCACCCCAGAGGATTTCAGGTGTGCTGTTTAGGGTGCCTGTCCCTGCTCCTGAGAGAACTTAAGGAGAGCCCATTGCACAAAGAAGCATTGGCAGTCAGGGGTGCTGCAGACCTCTGGGTTACAGCCAGCTGGGTTATAACCCACCCTAGAGCTGCACTGATCTCTCTTGTAGAAAAGGGGTCAGGGATCCCTAGAAATAAGATGTTTCCAACATCTTAAGGCTTAGATTTTGCAGAAGTGGGAAACCTCTGTGAGGCCTTGGCCTATCCTAGGGCAGCTCAGGTCACAGCAGGGATCAAACATCCTCTGGTGAACCCCCTGGCCTCTGTTCCCTCTCCTCGGCACGGGGTGCAGGGTGGTCCCTGGGGGTTTGGGCTGTCTGTTGGGGCCCTGGGATAGATGCTATCGTGTTTGCCAGCACAAATGTTTCACTGGATGCCTGCTTACTGTCTGTTGCTCAGGCTGTGCCGTGGCACTTGCCTGGGAGGGATCTCAGGCTGCCATAACCTCTGCAGCCCGCAGGAAAGGTGACTTCCATCTAGTTCTAAATTATGACATTATTTTATTAGATCTTTAAACTTTAGTTAAATTTTTTATTTTAAAAGGGGGAGGAAGGTATCATATTTTAATTAGTAGCGGTGCCAAAGGAGTCCTAGATTAATTATTTGAAATCACTCCATCCAGATGGTTTTAATTTTCACAGCAGGGAACCGGCATCTTTTTAAGGTGATATTTTTCAAATTAAAATCAGCTTGGATATTAGTCATACTAGCTGCAGAGTGAGGAGGTGGGGAACACAAGCCAGTGTGCCCCGTGTTTGTCCATCTGAGCACGGGCTGCCACGGGGAGCTGCGTCACAGGGGAGGGAGCTGCTGGCTGTCCCGTGGGACCACGGCTCTCGTGCTGGAGGGTTTTGTTGGTGTTAGCTCCTCCTTTGGCTGGCCAGAGCCTGTATCTGATGTTCAGAGTCACTCTCAGCAGCTTTTTGCTCTAAGGCTGGAGTGAACAGGGTATGCCTCACAGCTCACAGGGAGCTGTGCTGTCCTGTTCTGGCCTGTGTGGAGCCCTCGTCTAACCCCTGTGCTGGGTGGCCCCACACCAGTGTTCGTGCCTGGCTGGTTTGGCCACTGTACATCTGTGGGCAGCTCCTTGGTGCTCTGGGTGTCAGCCATGGCTCCTAGACCCAGCTTTGCTGGCTCCACAGCCTTCGCTCATGTGCCGGCTGCTGGTCCCCTGCTCTGAGGCTGACCTCCATCCTCTGCTCATGTGAGGAGAAGCCCTTTCAGTGTCACCTCTTTAAGGGCAGACAGTCCCACCTTTGCTGTTCCCTTGTCTGTTAGTGCTGCATTGCACCCGAGCAGCCTGCCTGAGCTTCCTGGAGCAGTGGGCACTCAGCAGGTTCCAGCCGTGCTGCTCAGCCTGCCCTGGGGGGCCCTGTGCCATCACCCCCTCCTGGCTGGCTCACCTTGATATCCTCACTTGAGGGGTTATTTCTGGCTTGGGGCCCTTTCTCACAGAAGTGGTCACAGGTTGGATACTGCCCTGGCAGGTGAGGGGACAAAGTGGGCAGCACCCAGCTGTTCACCATCACAGGTACCTAAACCCATGAGGTGTTTCTGAAAAACTTCCATAAATATCCATATCTGTGCATGATTGCAAGTAATATCCTGCTGTAATACAGACATTATCCCACTTGCTGTCAGAAAGAAGTTATAATTTAAATATCCCCTGTGATAACAGGTTTAACAAATAGATCTAAATAAATGTAAGCAGCTAGTAACTGGAAACCCCTGAACTTACAGATGTGACTGAGCTGTGAGGGGAAAATTGTTTAGGGCCCTTGTGAGTTAAAGGTTTGTGATATTTGCACTGCTGCAGAAGCCAAAAGCTGACTTTACAAGTGGGAAAAATATTAATGTGTTTAAATGAAACAAACTCCTATTTCTATCCCCGTGGTTAATTCTTACAATGAACATATTTGCTCTTAGAGGGCTTTAAAGTTTGAAATATGAATGCCAAAAAGAATGTGACTTTTTTTTGCAGCACAGATCAAACATTCTCCAGAGTTTGGCAAAAGCTGTATTTCTGTGGTGGGGCTCAGCACTCACAGGCGTGAGTATTTCCAGAGCAGGAGCGTGGAGCTGCACTTGCTGACACTCACACATTCTTGCATTGTGTTTCAACCATGTCTCCTTTCTCCTCCTCCATGTCGGAGATGGATCTGAACCAAAAGGTCCAGTCTGCCTGTTCCTGCCTCTCTGGAGAAATTCCTGGAATCCGAATCTTAAGCATGACTGGAATTTGTGTTTAGATTAGAGATGGAATAAAAGGCTGGATTTGGATCTGTCTGGGTTTTTGAGATGATGATGATGATGATGATGGCATGCTGCTTGTCTGAGTAGCAGCCTGGCCCCTTCTGCAGGTACAGCTGTGGCAGAGGAGGAGGTTTATGGAGATGCAGCAGGAATCTGTCCCCTACCCTGGCTCCTGCTGCAAACCAGCTATGGCATCAATACCCTGAAAGACACTGAGATTGGCCACATTTCTCCCAGCTAGAGCCGGAGACCTTGGCCTGGGCTGCCAGAAAGAAATTTGTGACCTCCTGGATGCACAAAAAGGCATGGAGGACATGTACAGGGTGGGTGTGCATGAGACAGAACAAGCAGTGCCAAATTCCCCCTGCTAGCTGTTGTGGTGACCTTCAGGAGGTCACAGTAGTGTTTTGCACTGGGGTGTGTGGCTGAACCACTGCTGTTGCAGTGTTTGAGGGCTGCTGGCTGTGGGGAAAGGATTTTCTTTCTTGTCATGCTAATGTTTTCATCTTCATCAGAATAAAATCCATGTTCTTACCTTCCAAGAACCCTCCTGCAGTGTGAAGGAGAGCGTTGTCAATGGAACAAGCTGCCCAGGGCCGGGGGTGTTTAAAAGCCACGTAGGTGTGACACCTAGGGACAGGGTGTAGTGGTGGCACAACAGTGCTGGGGGAACAGTTGGACTTGATGATCTCAGAGGTTTTTTCCAACATAAGCAATTCTCTATTAACACTGAGCTAATGTTGCTGGTGGTGGTGGGGTTGGTGTGACAGATGGAGCCCATACACGTGTTGGTTTTTCTGTGGTAAACCAGCTTTAAATCCAGGGTATCTGTGTGGGAATGAGTGGAGAGGTGTCAGTCCTCTGCCTGGATTGAGCCATGAGCTCGGCCCCTGGTGGTCCCCGGGGCTGTGCCCTGCAGAGCACTCAGATGTGGTGTGGTTCAGCTGGGCAGTGGGACAGTGTCCCGGGGAGCTCTGCACCCTGGTCCTTCATGGGACCACATTGGTAAATGCTTTCTTTTCTTCTTCCTTTACAAGCCCAGCTTCTAGTGGAAACAGACACTTTTGGAAGTCAAGTCCGGATCAAAGGGAAGGAGACAGATTTCTACCTTTGCATGAACAGGAAAGGCAAGCTAGTGGGGAAGGTAAGTAAGTGTTTCCTATTAATTCATCTGTGACCTGAGTGTTACCTTGAGCAGCCTCCTCAAGGCTGTAATGATGTGTTTGAGCCTCGTCTGTCAGCCTCAAATGAGGAGCAGGACGGGGATGTGGAGTTTGCAGGGCAGCTCTTGCTCTCCCAGGGGCTCTCCTGAGTGCTCTGTTGAGCCCCCCAGGCTGTCAAACGAGCCCTGCAGCCTCACGGGGCTCGCCAGTGCTGCTGCAGGTGTGCACGGGGTCCTGCCTCGTGTGAGATGTCACCTCAGCATCCCAGTGCCATGGCCACCTCCACAGCACCTTCCTCACCTGATCTTTCTTTGGGGGGACATTCAAGTATGAATTTCCCCCAGAACTCCTTTTGGGAAGAATTCAGAGTAGAAGGGCAAGCAGAGGTGCTGTGGTTCGTGCTGGGCAGCAGAAAGCTCCTTCCTGCCAGCCAGGAGCCAGGGACTGGCATGGCACAGCCAGGACCAGAATATGAACATTGGGGGATGCCTCCCCAATGGAAGGGTGTAATAGATTACAGCGTGTTCACCCCTTCAGCCCAACTTGTGTGCTGAAATAGTGTTCTTGTAATTTACACGGTCCTTCTTTATTGCTGGAAAAGCTGGATGCTTGCTAACCAGGCAGAGGCTTGTGCAAAGCTGAAGTGCCACCAAGAAATAAATGTCAAATAGAATATTCCAGCCTTCAAACCTCTGCTGCTCTCACTTTGCACCACCGGGTGTTCAAATCTAGCATCTTTGTGGCCATGAAAAAGGGAAGCAGAGTTTTGTTTTTAGTCAAGGCAGTGAAAGCCATGCTCCCAAACAGAAACCAGAAACCAAATGGTTCTGATGAAAAATTATTTACTGTTGTGGTCCCAGGAGTGACACCTGTAGGACACTGCCTTTCCTGGAGGATCTCTCCCTCTTCCACTTGGGCTTCCTTGGGGATCAGATGCTCTGTGGAGGCTAAGCCCAGCTTATTTGCTGCTAGCCAGGGCCCTGTGCCTGACCTGCTTTGGAGCTACCTGTCCAGGCAGGAGGCATCCAGGATACTGCTTAAAATCAGGAAGAAATGGAAATCAGCACTCTGGGAGGGCTGGGGCAAAGCAGCCAATTGTCTCTGCTTCCTGCACTTGTGTTACCACCCTGCATGGGACCCCACTGTTTGGTCTTGGACAGGAAAATTATTTTAACTGGTTTTAAACCATGTTGGATGCTTTTGAAAGTTGCATTGGACACAAACATACCTTAGATTTTTCTGTGCCTTAATTTTCCATCCTTTAAATGTGATCGTAGCATTTTCCCCAGATCTGAGCATTTTCCCCAGAAATGTTGCAAGGATAATGTTGTTAATGTTTATGAGGTGCTGATACCAGTCATGGAGACCTTAGAAGCACTCAGGTGGGGTAAACTGAGCACAAAATCTTAGAAAAATCCTTTTTCTTTAGCAGACCTTACCCCAGGTGGGTCAGCAGTGGCACAGGGCAGCCCATATCCTTTCCTGTTCTGAATGAAGTGTCCAGGAACATCATGGCAAAGCCAGCAGCAGTTTTTCCAAACATACCATATATTTGTAGGGAGTGTGTATTTAAAGCTCATCCCTTGATTTGGCCCACTGGGCACTGAGGCAGGACACTTGTTTCCTTGTCACCTTTCAGGCAGCATGAACCTTTTTTCCCCCCTCCGATGTGCTTTTCATGGTGTTAAGCTGGCAAATGTTTTGTTGCAAGGAATAAATAAGTCTATTCTTGTAAATACTGCTGCCCTCCCACCCCAGCCTGTGACAAGTTCCCAAAGCAGCCAACCTGGGCCGGATGGAGCACAGCGCTGGGCAGGAAAATGTTCCAGACGTGTTGCCCATATTAGCAGCTCCTCACGAGCAACAAAAGAAAACAATAGCATGTCTTCTTGATACCAAAGAGTGTGGTTTTCATTAGTGTCATGGTTTCAGCTCTCTTTGTGGCAGGAGTCTGAGGGAATGCTTTTTAGCCTGAATGCTCTAAACAGCCAGTAAACCCCAAGGAAAACACGAGATAAAAGTTATGCCTGGGCTTATACAAATATTTAAGTTCAGTCTGGGGGTGGAGGGGAATGAAGCCCACGAAGTGATTGTTCCATGGTTGTCCTGCTATGTTCGTTTGGCAGGAGAGGAGCCATGGGACCAAGCCGGGCCTTTCCTCTGCTCATTTCCTATTGCCTTGCATTGCAGAATCCCCAACCAGCCCAGCACATGCCATCTGGCTTTGCTCTCCTCCTCACTCAGCAGTTTTGGATCCTTCCCCGTTGAAAACCTGCTTTGAATTTAGCCCCTTTTGTGTCCCATAATCACCTACAAAGAGTGCCACGGCCAGGAGCAGGTTGTTGTTCTCAGCTGGAGCTGGTGATGAACACAAGAGCTCCAGAGGTGGCCAGGGCTTTTCCCCACCTTGGAGCTGGCTGTGTTGCAGGGAAGCAGATTAACCCCCCGGGGGTAAGAAGAGCAGCCTTTGTGTCCTTATTTCTGATGATTGTACCTCCACCAGAGTTTCCCAGCAGAGCCCTCTGATGGAGCCTGCTCAGGAGCCCCAAACCTCGTGGGTTTTGCCTCTCTCAGGTGCTGCTGTGTGTGTTCACAGGCAGCAGTGGCCAAAGGGCTCAGAGCTGTTTTGGGCAGGCTCCTGACTCTGTTGTAGCAGCAGCTGCTGCGGTCACTGGCACTCTGTGATGCTTTGGAAAATGAGACAGGAGATGTGGTGTACAGCAGTGACTTCTCTGTTACAGGTGAGCAGCACCTGGTGAAAACAAACCGGGATGTGCTTTTTGTGGATTCTTGATGTTGTTTTGAAGAAGACCCAAGAAACCTTTCATTTTATTTCTTTTTACTTCTGCCCATCTGTTTCTTTGACCATGGGTTTTTTGAGCTACAATAAAAATTGTAGGTCCTGAGTTTTCTGGTCTTCCTGAGGTTTTCTGTGGACCACTGAAATTTATTATAAAATCACAGAATTTTTGGTGTTGGAAGGGACCTTAAAGCTCATCCCATTCCACCCCCTGCCTTGGGCAGGGACACCTTCCACTGTCCCAGGCTGCTCCAAGGCCCAGTGTCCAACCTGGCCTTGGGCACTGCCAGGGATCCAGGGGCAGCCACAGCTGCTCTGGGCACCCTGTGCCAGGGCCTCAAAGTAAAGAGTTTCTTCTTTATATCTGGTATAAATTTATCTTCTTTTAGTTAAAGCCATTACTCCATGTTCTATTGCAACAGGTCCTGCTAAAAGGTTTGTCCCCAACTTTCTTTAACTTTTTTAAATACTGAAAGGCTGCAATAGTTCTTCCTAGAGCCTGCTCTACTCCAGGCTTTATGGTGGAATCACACTACAAGGAGAGAGATGAAAATATGAAAATTCAGAACAAGAATGCCAGCTGCTTTTCTGAGAAACTTTTTTGTCTTTAAAAAAAATTATTAAACCTCTTTATTTATCTCAGTCTTCTTACAAACACGAGGGGAAGAGGATTCAAAGATGCAGTTCTTCTTCCAAGGAGAGGTACGATGTGACTTGTCCACTTGTGACAAGTCATCTAGAACACAACTCTGAATATTGGCAGTAATTCAGTGCTAGAGGCAAAGAGGAGCTGATGGTCTCTTTGGAGGAGCTCTTGAGCTTCTAACTGGCACTCCTGGGGAGTTCTTCTGTGGTTTCTCTCTCTGCCTCAGCTTCTCCTATCTCGTGCATGGAGATGAGGCCATTTGTGTTTGCTGAAGGCTGGCAGTGGTAAGTCACTGGAGCCTGCCAGAGCGAGGAGTAGCCTGGGCCGAGCAGGTGGCTCTTACCTGAGCTGGGCTCCAGCTGCTCTTGCTGAGCCTGTCCTTACAGCACATCAGCTTCCTAGAACTGCAGCATGCTGCAGAGATTGCCTTTCCCTGCCCTGTCCCATTCTCTGGCAGGGAGAGCATTTGCAGTCAGGGGTCTGTGTGAAGCCTGAACCATCAAAGGATGGCCAGAGCCTGCCTTTCTTTTTTGGGCACAGCCAGGGTTGGTGGCTGCTGCATGGGGAGCAGAGCATCTCCTGACTCCCAGCACTGTCTCCAGGGAAGTTCCCTGACATCCCCCTGTGGGATGAGGCAGTCTGGTCAATGCTGGTGTTCAGGCTGCAGCAGGTATCCATGGGGAGGGTACTTCACACTCCCACCTTCTTTCAAAGATCCTCAGTGATCTGGCGTCCACACACTCTCAAAATCGTGGTAGTATTGGGGGCATATAGTGGCCTTATTTTTGTAAAGGCATTTTAATAAGTTTGATTTTATTCCTCCATTCTCTGAGCTGAATGTGAGCAGAGGGAAAAAGCTGTTTGGTGAAGGGTAGGAAGCTGTGGGCAACTGGGTGGCTGAGGCAGAGCTCCAGACAGGTGACAGATAATTTGGGTGCCTCCTGGGGACGTGTCCCCTGACACCACGTCTGCAGCACTGGCGCCCTCCCAGCACTCCCAACCAGCAGCATTGAGCTTTGGTCACCTGGCACAGCCCAGCTCCCGAACAAAAGCTGTGCCAGCCAAAGCCTGGCTGTGCCAGGGCCATGTCATTGGTACAGGGGACAGGAGGTGGCACAGCTGTGCTGGCCGCCAGTGCCTCTCCCAGCCCTGACCAGCACCACTGTGCTGGTGCCACTCACAGCAGAGACCTGCCTCTCAGACACAGCATTTTTCTTGGTGTGATAACTGCTTTCCAAGCCAATATATTTCTTAATAATTACCAGAAAGTTGCTAATACCATATGGCAAGGCTCTCTGTATTTTTGCAGGACAACAAACAAATTGTTGCTAGATGCCAGACTGCTCTGGCAGAGCTTTATCACTGATGCCTGCCAGCAGTAGCCTTTAGGGGATAGTAATAATTTGGGGTTGTTTACATTACAGCTTTAAAATAGGGGTTTTCTTGATGCGCGTGTTTAGTCAGGAAAGTTGGCTAAAAAAACTCTGACGGCATCAAAGACTGAAGGTGCCCACCGTGGCCTGTAAATGTGCTCT